TTACTTATTGGTTGCAGTCTCCCTGCTGGGCTCTGCATGCCAGAGGGAATGGGCAGCATCTGGCAGGTGCACAGCTGCACCATCGGGGCTGAGAGTAGTGCTGGCATAGAATAGATGCTCAATAGCATTTTGGATGGGGGAGTAGAGGGAGCATGAGAGGAAGCAAGACCAGGCAAGAGTCCTTGTGCTCTTGGGAGGGAGTTAGAGGATGAGGCTTTAGCTGCTCATCTCTGGTCCAGTTCAGCAGCCTCAAGGAGTGTCGGCATCTCAGCAAATGGGATCTCTTATGAGTCAGGGCATGCACCTCTAGGTCCTGACCCATATTTAAAGAGAAATTCCTCTTTCTCAGTCATGCAGCTTGGGGACTAACATATTCCTCCCACTACCTCCTTTCCCTGAGATCCCTCAAAGCCACCCCACCTATCCAGGTGTTGGGTGCCATGCTCCCAGCTGTCCCAGCTGACATCCAGGGTGGCTGCAAGCATGGAGGGAAGAGCATAGCTGAGGCCTGCCCAACAGCCAGCTCCTGTGCCTTGTTGGGAGGCTGCCCCTGAGCTGCTGGCACCGTTTTCCCATGCCCACAGCTGGATGAAAGTGCCCAGGGGCTAGTCCCTCCGGGGACAGCTCTGATGGGCGTGGGGATGGATATCCCAGCTCCCTGGCCTCTGGGCTGGGATAATGCTGCTGTGTGTGTTTTATGTCGTTTCCTAGAGCCCCCTGTCCATCCAGGGATCAAGATCACAACTGTCCACTACGGTAGCTGGCTCACTGGCATCTTGAAGTGACCGGCTCCCCTTTCTTGTAGCTCCCCTCACCGGGTATCCTCCACCTCAGGCAAACCACACGCCTCGACCCTCACACCAGGGTCTGCTTCCGGAGGAAGCCCTGCGCACTTTCCTCATGGTTAGCCCTTCCCAGAGTGTCCAGAGGACTGCAAGTGGCAAAACCCTGGGAAATGGGTGCCAGCCAGCACTCTGGGGCCCTGGCATGTGTGCCCTCCAGGAACTTCAAGTTTCCCATCCCTCTATCCCTAACGCCCACGGTCTTGGCATGCTTCTGGCATTCAGAAAATGCTAGGTTCACACGGAGCTCCGGCTGGTCCCAGGGAGCAGCCAGGGCCTGGGCTTAGGTCCCATCCATCAATGCCTGTGACTCCACCAAAGGAACAGCTCATAATGTGCAAAGTTCAAAGACCATTACTGTCTGTTACTCTCCCTTCATCCAGTAATGATTTCCCAGAACACTACCCTGGAGTTTAGTGCTGAGGGCTGGAAATGGTCTCCTGTCTGCACAAACAGATAAATATAGGTGACCTTCCCACGTGATGGATTGGGCAGATGGCGTCCGGGTACTTGGGAACATGAAAATGATACTTGGCTTGTTGGGAGATGAATGTTCCTTCACACAAACTATATGTCCCTTTGCCTTCCCTTCCCTAGTGGGTTCGCTGCCAGAATAATAATTGCAGTATTAACAATACATTGGCATTTCCTGAACATTTATTATGTTCTAAGCACTGAGTGAAGCACATTGCCCCATTTACTCCTTGCATATCGTTCTCTAGGGTGGCACGATTATACACCCACTCCATCTATAGGCAAGGCAATTGAGGCTTCTAGAAGGTTCAGTAACCTTCCCAAGGGCTCACCTTGTTAAAGAGGTGAGTGGAGCATTAAACCCAACTCTAGGCCACAATGCTTGGCACCGGACTAGCCAAATCATTTGTGGGGCTCGGTGCAAAATGAAAATGCAGGACCCCTTGTTCAGCAGTTATTAACAATTTTAAGATGGTGACGGCAGAGCCTAATAGCAACCCTGGGGCCCTCTGAGCGTGATTCTCTGGGAGGCGGTGAAGGTCGCGCCCCTGGCTATGTGGAGGCGGAAGAGAGTGATATGAATGCGGACGAGGACCCCAGTGGGGAATGCTGTTTATCCCCAGAGACTGAGCAATAGCTCACATTGATTAAAAGCCATTCAGTGAGCCTGGATATTTGGTCAGAGAGCTGGCCACTTTCTGTCAGAAGCTAAATCAGTTCATCGGATTAGAACCCCACAAATACTGTCCCTCAGGTGGGCCTGCAAAGAGTCCGTCCTAAAGAATGTGAGAGAAGGTGGCCGGCTCCAACATGGTACATGGGAAAGGGCCTGTGTCTTGAAGCCAGAGACATGAAAACGGATTCTAGCTCATCTCTCAGCTTGTGATTTGGGGGAAGTTCCTGGACCCCTTTGAGATTCCGTTTTCTTTCTTTTTTTTTTTTTTAAATATATTTTATTGATTTTCCACAGAGAAGAAGGGAGAGGGATAGAGAGTCAGAAACATCGATGAGAGAGATCGATCAGCTGCCTCCTGCACGCCCCCCAGTGGGGATGTGCCCGCAACCAAGGTACATGCCCCTAACCGGAATCGAACCCGGGACCCTTCAGTCCGCAGGCCGACGCTCTATCCACTGAGCCAAACCGGTTCGGCGAGATTCCGTTTTCTTATTTGTATGATGGGAGAGCTACCACCTCTCAGGGTAGGACCTGGTATAATGGAGGCAGTGATGCAGTGTATATAAAGGTCTCAGAATACAGTAAGCGCTCATCATAGTTTAGTGGCTGTTTTCACCGCGAAGACTTGGGGACAGTTGAAAGAGCATATGATGTGAAGGTGGGAGATATAGTTGAGCCCTGAACACGGCCTCCCATCTGTTATGATGTTAACTGGGCAAAGTCACTGAATTCTTTCCAGGGTCAGCATCTTCTTCTGTAAAGTGGACCCAGAATAATATCCACAACACATAGGATTCTGAGAGCCACACATAAGTGAGAGATTATGAAACTGGGAGAGGCGATCATTTCTATAGCTGGTCTGTGTTTGTTGTTATAACTTATAAATGGTTAAGGTTGGGGAGGGGCTTAAGAGAGGGTCACCGTCACCCTCCCCAGATTCCCACTGTCCCCATGGAAGCTTCGGGGCCTCCTTGCCTGAGCTCTCCCACAGGCGCTAAGTGATCTAAGTGATTTCTCCTCTAAAAGTTTTCCACATTTCCACATTCTTAACCCAAACTTTGACGCCATTCCAATGCCTGCTTTACAGTCGAACCCAGAGGGTACTGAAAAGACAACAATAAATCAGGCCAAATTCCACATAGCTGGTAGAAGCTCCTCCATACTGATCTCCAAGGCTTTCTGTATTTTATAGGACATTTCCAATTATAAATTGAAGTTTGAGATGGTTTATGTTTTGCTGGAGATGCGTCCACCCTAACCAAATTGCTTTGTGCTTTAAGAAATTCAATATACATAAAGGATTCAATTTTCTTTGAAAATATGATGTGTATATAAAAACATTAAAATTTGAAATTCTTTCTGAAACTTTAAGGAAGGGCACAGTGGGAGGTAAATTGAACATTGTCTAATCGTATATACATATAATATACAGAGATATGCACCTGCTCACAGCTGCCTGAAATATCACCATTGTCATTTACATTTAGAACACTTTTCCAGCCCATCTTGAATTCCAGTCACTCATATGCAATGCCCGGGTACCACAGATGGAAAAGGAGAATCATTTTTCTGCTCTGCTCCATCTCCAGTCTCTTTAATAGCTTTCCTCATTGGTTCTCCTAACTTGTTCTGAACACCAGCTTGTTTAAGATTTCTGTAAACATCAAACTCAAATTCCAGGGTCTCACTCACCAGAAGCCATCTCTCCATCAGAGCAGCCTCCTGAGAGGTGCCACAGGAATTTCCGCCCGAAGTGATCTGACCCACCTCCACCCGCTACTCTCTGATTTTCCGGTGCTGTTTTCACCCCTCTGTCGCCACCCTCGCCCCCAAATGCCCTCCAGCACACACAGGGAATTCCCTCTCCTTTTTACAGAATGCATTCAAATTCTAGAAGAGAGAGGGTCACTCCTGCCCCTGGGCATCTGATAAAGTGCATAGAGATCCAGCTCCTTGAAGTTGAAGGGAGGTTTTAGGCACCTTACTTATAATTATTCACCTGGTAGTCTAGGAAGGTTACCATGACAACACTTCTAGCACCTCTTACAACTACATGTTATTGATACATCCCATCAATTCAGGTGGAGGGTGGAAGGGCAGGTAACCAGTTGAACAAGCTATCCAATGTTCATCTCCCATCTGGCCACTGAGTGACTCTTTCACTTACTTGTTTTGCCATAATTTGGACACAGCCTCAGTGATAGACTTAATATGGCACTTTTTCACTTAAATGCATTTTAAAGCTTAAAATCAAAGTACGGCCTTACACTAGGGATGTTTCTTCTTTGCTCTCCAGTTTCTCAAGCATTATACTTAGGACTAATTTCTGCTGCTGGTCACAGAATGCTTTAATTAGTATCTATTGGGGCAGAAAGGGAGCTCTAATTATAAAACCTTCCCTGACAGAAAGGTTAAATGTGGGAAAAAGATAAAAGGAGCTCTGTAATAACTCTGAGTCATTTTCATAACAGTAGGTACAAGTATTTCCAGGGAGGAAAATAAAATGTCTTGCCTTTGGCCCTTTGACTGAGGACAAAGGTTTCTCCACGCACATCTAAGGAAAGGGGAGAAAAAAGGCCTACCCATTTTTCCAAAATGGTTCTGATTAAAATGCAGTTATGAAAAGAAATAACTGAGGAGCCTGCAGTGGGGACTTTAATGTCCTTCACAGCCACACTGCTTCACAAAGTCCAGCCTGGGGCCTCACAAGGGTGAGGTAGATATTTACATTGTGTCCCACGGTAGCCATGCGTTAAAGACTTAGATGTCGGTCACCCTTAAAGGATCACCTTTAGGGACAAGGGGAGATATTTCCATAGTTTGCAATACCCCAGTCATGTTCTGAGTTGCATCTTTCCAGCTCCTGCTTCTACCCAGGGAAATAATATGTCAATGATGATGCATACCAACAACAAGTTGGAGTGGCAATACACAGTCTCTCTCGTCCCAAAGATCAGAGTATGCCACTTCCCAAGCCATTATGCTAATGATAAGCCAACTTAACATACCTGTAGGCGATCCTTCCATGACATGACCAACATAGGGGCCCTCTCGAAAGCTTGGTCTATTGTCGTTCTGATCAATCACAATGACTTCCAGAGGGACTGGCCCCTCAAGAGTTCTGCCGTTAACATCAGTGGTCTCCACAAATAGCTATTGGAGCAAAGAGATGGAGAAAGAGGGATTAATTCATTATGAAAATTGAAAGCAGGTTCTCTGGAGAAGGTTGGTTATATCAGCAATTGTATAAGCCCTCAGCAATATTGTGGTCTCAATGGATAGACACTAGGACTAGAATAGAAACTAAACATTAGAGAATAAAAGACAAAGATCAATTCATGGGAGGTCCCCCTTGGGAAATTTACAATTAATTTATCAAATCTGCAAAGGAAGTCCAAAAAAAGAAGAAGAAAGAAAAAAGAAAACACTCGTAATCAGCCATAGCTAAGAAAATGTGCTTACATTGTTTCTGTTTTTCCAACATCATTATGCTTAAATGGAATGTTATGCTAATAAAAATAATTGACTAAGCAGTTATGAACAAAGTACATTAGAAAATAACTGAAAGTGTTTATAGTAATGTTTGGGAGAAATTCAGGGCAGTAAGTATGTATAGAGAGCCTTCCTGGTGCAAGGAAGCCATTTGCTGGGTCCTGAATGACACCTCAGGATTCCTGCCCACCAGGCCCTTATAATCTATGGGGAAATGTCATAATTCCACGAGACACTTCCAATACAGAATTACCTTCAGATCTCAAGAATGAAGAAAATAATAGCATAAAAAAACATTAGCTTTATTGTCTTGGAAACAGGAAATTATGTCATGACATTTCCAGTGAATCACAGTAACCTTATGCTCTTATTTTCTGAGCCTAATTCAGCCTGGATTGAACTCGGCAGAGATGGCAGCACTTCTCGGTGGATATCAGTGGTGGTCTCTGCATTGAAGGGGGTTGAGCGTTTTAGTCAGAAAAGGGTCTCTACAGTGGGAATCCTCAGGAAGAGGCCTCTGCAGCTGGAATCCCAGCATAACATTAAAAACACTCATTATTAGGAATAATAATCAATATTATCCAGGGCTTACCCAGGTTCTCTACTATATTAACTCACTTGATCCTCACAGTAATCCTAGGATCCTTTTGTGAGGAGGGAACAAAAGCAAACAGAGATTATACGGTGGAGTCTAGATTGGACCCCATGAAATCAGGCTCCAGAGATTACATTTTTAACATACATAATGTTTCTAAGTCACTTAATGCCTGTCACATAAAATATCTCAAGAATATTATAAGGCTCTGGCCAGGTAGCTCAGTTGGCTGGAGGGCCGTCCCAATATACCAAGGTTGTGGGTTTGATCCCTAGTCAGGGCACATACAAGAAGCAAGCAATGAATGCATAAATGAGTGGAACAACAAATTATTCTCTCTCACTCTCTCTCTCCCCCCCCCCCCAAATCAATAAATTTAAAAAAGAAATATTCAATTAGCTCCTGCTATTGTTGCTACTGTTATTGTTATCAACACCAATGTAAAAACTAGCCCAGCCCTGGCTGGTGTGGCTTAGTTGGTTGGAGTATCATCCAGTACACCAAAAGGTTGTGGGTTTGATCCCCGGTCAGGGCACCTACAGGAGGCAACTGATGGCTCTCTCTCTCTCTCTCTCTCTCTCTTTCTCTCTCTCTCTCTCTCTCTCTCTCTCTCTCTCTCTCTCTCGTCAATTAAGGGGAAAAAAACTAGCCCAAATTAGGAAAATAAGAGAGAAACACCTTTGTTACAAACCAGCACAGTACCCTACGTAATGGTGCTATAATTGGTATCATTCTTTTGGAAAGCAGCATGGGGAAATTCAACAAAAAGCTTTGAAAACGCATACATTTTGTTCCATTTGTATGCCACTCCTGGTTATATTTGAGTTAGGTTGTGCTACATATATGAAAATATTCACTCTAGTGTTATTTCTAGTAGTGAAATAACACTGGCATCCACTAAATGTCCAGTGAAAGGGGACTAGTTGAATGAATGTTTATGTAACAACATGCTAGAATACAGCCATTAGAGAAAATGATTATTAAACCTTGTTGATCTACTAAGAATATTGTGTGAAAATAAGCTAAATAGCATGTGTAACATATACATATGGACAGAATTTGAACTTAGTAAGCAAAAGTAAAACCAGGTATGCTTGGGAAGAGAGATATAGTTTTCATTTTTTTTTCTTTAACAATCTTTTCACTAGCAAATTAAAACATACACCCACACTTTGATTTCTGGAGCAAACAAAATAATGCATGTATACTTTAATTAAAGGGGCAGAGCCTTTAACATCTGCATAAATAGAAAAATCTTAAATAGAGTTCACTCTTATACTTTTACTAGGGGCCCAGTGCACAAATTTGTGTACCTTAAAAGGAACTGTGGGCCATGAGGCTGCAGTGGGCACAGAGGCAGGTCTTGGCCCATCCTCCACCCCCCGCCCAGCCCCTCCCACTGCAGCATCTGGTCCCCAGTCTGCCAGCAGCCCAGCTCCCACCACTGCCGCTCCCACATGCTGACAGCGGCAGCCCTGCTCGCACCTGTTGACAGCACGGAGCAATTGGGGCTGGTGCCCTCAGCAGGTGTGAGTGGGGCCGTCACTGGCAGTGGGTGTGAGTGGTGGCTTCCAGCCCCGATTGCCCCTCAGGAGCAGGAGGAGGTGGGGAAGCTCTGAGGGGTGATCAGGGCTGGCAGCTGCTGCTTGCACCCACTAACAGCGCCGAGCGACCGGGGCCGGGGCTGGGGCCGGGCACCAGCAGTGGGTGTGAGCAGCAGCTCCCGCAGCAGGGGCGAGCACCTGGGGGGACCACGGTGCGTGGGAGCAAAGAATTTTCAGTAACCACCAGAGGCTTGCCCTGATGACAGCGACTGGCACCCCGCCTTGGTCTGATGCCCCCACTCACCTGCTCCACCCTCCCACCATGGCCAATGCCCGCCATGTTCTGTGCTCTGCCACCTGCTGCCAATGCCCACCATGTTTTGCACACGCCCCCTGGTGGTCAGTGCACATCATAGAGACCAGTTGTTTGGTTGTTCCGCTGCTCAGTCTATTTGCCTATTAGCCTTTTATTATATAGGATGCTGCTTTTAAAATCTACTTTGAGAATACTGCTAAAGAAAGAAAATTAAAACAAAGCCTTGGGGGAAAATCATCAATAATGAAGGTCTGGCCTTTTGTCCTACCAAAATAGCCAGAGTTGACTTTAACTTAACCAAAAACCTATGTCTAAAGACAACACGTATGTTGGATCTGAATCTTAAGTTTTCTGTTTGTTCACAAACTGGCCCCCGTACATGAAGGGTGTGGAGAGATCTAAGAAAGAGGTGGACCATTCCAGATAGTAGGTAGCAGTTTAATAAGTAAGGGAACCTATATATGAGACTTGTCTTGGAGACCACAAGACAAGTAGATCTCTGTGTCCACCCACCAGGATCTTGAACGTTTATGTGGGTTCAGTCACATATGCCATCCAGATGGTCTCAACAGCACCTTACTGTCTCAAGGCTGTGTCCTTGAAAAAGCTCACATTGTGGGAACGGTGGGCAGAACATACATTCCAAGGACAGGAGAGGAATGAGGAGCCTGACTGCATGGGTCCAGCTTGTGGGTCAACAGGCGGTCACATCCTCTTGATGACCTCCTCAAACTATACTTCCACTTTTTGCAAGACTCGGGTCGTATAAGAAGCACAAGTAGGACAAAGGAACAGAATTCACATTTGCCAAATATGCAAATATACTGGAACTGGGAGGAGCAGGCTCTAGATCCATCTCAACATAATGGGAAGACAGACAGACAGACACTAAGGAGATATAATTGATTAGGATGAATGAAAAATGTTGCACCAAATCTCATAAAATGAATTATGTAAGTAGACAACCTGATAGCAGTTTATGTCATTCCAGTACCCAGAGTTTGACTCCTGAATTTTTTAGTGGAAAACAATATTGCTAGATGCACTCTGGGTGAGAGAGAGAGAGAGAGAGAGAGAGAGAGAGAGAGAGAGAGAATGAATGAATGTGTGCTGGCAGGGGAAGTACCTATTTTAGATACAATAGTTTGAAAGACTCTCTATAAACTTTCAGGCCCTGCCCAGACTCTACTTATTGCTGAAGGAACATTTTGATTGAAACTTGAAAAACAACAAAACAGAAGGAGCTGGCCACGTGAAAATGCATGGAAAAGAGTTGTAGACAGCAGGTGTAATGGCTTCTAGCTTAGCATTATATTAGGGATGGTCTTGGTACAAGATGAAGTCAAACTGGGGCTCCACTCAATTCCAACGGAGTAGACTAAAGTGGATTCTGCTATAACATTCTTTGCTGGGTAAAAAGAGATGGAGGGAAAATGATATCATGCTTGTTTCTAACAAAGAAAACCATAGTAGACGGAGTAAAATATAGAATAGGAAATGCTAGTGCCTTACTAAGTAGTCTATGCATTTTCCAAATGGCATATATTAAGTGTGGATGAAAATTAAGCAGTCATGGAGAAATTATTAGTAAACATGACCTTATCTACCCAATCACTTACTATAAAGAAATCTGACATTCCAGTGAGCTTAAATAACTATTCTCTTATGAAGGTCACATCCACAGTTAACAAATGTGAAATCTTCTGAAATGGGACTCCTAACTTTCAGAGGGTACCTCTAGTATCAGAGGATAAATGTTTAATGATGTTTTCATCTTCCTTTCCTCTACTTAATTGAAATTCCCAAAACACATAAGTCCTTAGTCTAAAAAGACTGGAACAATGTTTGTTTCCTTTGAGTCACAAGATCTATTCTAGGGACTGTGTTTTGGGCTCCAGAAATAAAACAAACCGGAATGCATTCTAAGGGAGACATTCTCATGCCTGTCCTTGATGTTTAAAGTGAGATGCCAATTAGTAGAAACCTACTGTGAGAAAAACAAACAGGCAGCCATTGGCAGAAAGCAATGGAATAATTGCTCACAGGAAATGGAAATCACCCAGTTTCTCACTGACTATTTCTGCACCATCTTCTAGGACTGCTATTCTTAATGTGAGTGGTTGATCTTCTTGGGAATAATGAGGGGTGACATATAAAGAGGTCCACTGTGGAACCAGAAATAGAGAAGATGCTCAATAAATTAGAT